CCCTAAACCCTAAACCCAGTTCAGTCTATAGACTGAGCACTGAGCCCCAAAGCCAGCGCGAGAACAGATTGCTAGCTAGGTAAGCTAGCTAGATCGATCGGTTGGTTGGTCGGTCGGTCGGTAAGTCATTGACCTTTGAATGAATGAGTAAGTGAGTGGAAATGAATGAACGAACGATTGACTTGTTGTTTGACTGATTTATTGATTCCCGTTGTCTGGATGCACGTCGAGGGGGCTCCAGCTTTGTAGTTCTCCCATACCCAACCTTTATTGCTTTTGGTTCTCATGGCTTAGTAGGCTTACCCAGAGGGTCCACATGTACTACCATTATGGAATTAGGTCCCAAAAGACCATCCTTATTATGGTTTTGGGGACCTAATTCCATAATGGCAGTATATATGGACCCTCTGGGTTAGTAGTCATCCGAAAGCTAGAGACGTATGGGGTGAACACCCCCAAACTCACCTGTTTCTTGTAGCAGCCAGGCTCAAACAGTTCTGCACCGTCATCTGTCCCCAACCGTCCCTAAACCCTAAGTCTGCACCTTGGAAGCCGAAACTTTAAACTCAAAGTTCGGCTCAGAACTGAGAACTTAGAGCACTGCGCCGACAGCTCATATTCACGAATCTCAACCCTCGTCGAACACCTGCACTGGGCCGCAATAAAACGAGATGGGATGCGAGCGTTGAGGATACCTTACGCATTGGCACTATACATACATATGTACGTATAGGACTGCACAGAGACAGAAAGAGAGAGACGGAGAGAGAGTGAGATACATATATATATATATATACATATATATATATATATATATGTATATATATAGGGTGTGTGTATATAACCTGTAGCTACTGGGCAGCTATTCCGGTGTTTGTTGGGGGTCGGATGAATGTTCACGAACATGTTCTATGAGACAAATCAGAATGCACTATTCAGCAAATGTTGATGCAATGTCAATTGCATAGTTATAAGCACTAGAGAACCAAAAACGTATGTTTCGGAAATGCTTTTCGAATTGAATTTCTAGTAGCTCATACATAAGTGCGTCACATGAGTTTCCACTGGGCAAAATTTAAGCAAGGCGCCAAACACTGTGAACTGCTCAGCCAATAGTGAGCTACTATCGCCTGCATACTCATTGTTACGAAAACAATAACACATGAAGTTACTACTCCTGTAAACACTGTTCGAACACATTTACTAGTGGAGTTTATGTAAACAAGGTCACATATGAGTCCTTGGTTTACAAAGTCGACCTGCTGCTGATCGCCTCATGAATGAAACACTTGGCGTTGTAGCTACTACCCGAACATGAATTAGGACTTAATTGCGGATTGTTGGATGTGTTCAAGATTGGATGTTCATGAATATGCGTTATGAGACAAATTGGACTATTCAGCAAATGTCGGTCCGATATTATTAGCTGCATAGTTACAAGCTCTAGCACGAAAAACACATGTACGGGAATTCGTGCTCGGCGCTTAAATTTGGACATGAATCTGACACCTGCTTAAGCCTTTAGCCCCAAACCCTGAGACTGTAACCCACAACTTTAAGCTTTAAACTTTAAGCCTTGGTGCCCTACAGCCCGAAACCCGCAACCCATAAACCCCGAACCCCTGCATCGGGCTTTCCCCAGCTCGGGATGTAGTCTCCATGGCTGCAGCTTGTCGGCTTCACCGCCGCTTGCTGTCGAAGCCCGGGCTTGGGTGCTAAGGGTTTAGGGTTTAGGGCTAAGGAGTTATAGGGTTTAGGGGTTTAGGGTTTAGGAAGTTTAGGGTTTAGAGTTTAGGGTTTAGGGTTTAGGGTTTAGGGTTTAGGGTTTAGAGTTTAGCGTTTAGTGCTTAGGGTTTAGACTTTAGGGTTTAGGGGTTTAGGGGTTTTAGGGTTTATAGGGTTTAGGGAGTTCCACGTCGGCTTTCGGGCTGCGGGGCTTCTTGGCTTAGGTTCTTGGGCTTTGGGTTTTTCGGTTTAAGGGTTTAGGGTTTAAGGTTTAGGGTTAAGGGTTTAGGTTCTTGGGCTTTGGGTTTTTGGTTTAGGGGTTTAGGGTTTAAGGTTTAGGGTTTAGGGTTTAGGTTCTTGGGCTTTGGGTTCTTGGTGTTAGTTTTCAGCACCTTGTCTGGTGCAGTTTCAATAACCTTAACCCCCCAAGTATCTGCTATATAGGGCCCCAGGGGCTGTAGTACCCTATATAGTAGGTACCTGGTGGGTTAGGGTTATTTCACACTGCACAGCAAGAAGAGTGGTGGGGTTTTGGGATAGATACAGAAAGTACGCACAGGAAAATCGAATAATGAGATGCACGTAACTCAATGTAGGAACGGTATATATATATATATATATATATAGATTGGGGGGATGGTTAGTTGCATAACTTTGATACGCTGAACATCTCCTTGGAAGCTTTGTTGTAGCAAGTGGTCGTGCTCCTGCCACACGCCTGAACGGCGCACTCGTGAATGGCATCTCCATTCTCGGTTTTGTGATGTTCAAGAAGTTCCTGTCTGCCCGATCCAACACGGTACGTCGGCACTTGCTTGCCAGACGGACTATATGCACTGGAAGTACCTTGGGCTGGATCTGCTGGCACTCGGGAGTTTGCTGAGCTTGCTGGTCAAGCATGTCCTAAGCGAAGCACCTCACGAGGCGAGAATGGGAGCACCTGCTCAATTCGTACAAATTGAAGATCCTGGAAAGGTACGGAAGCAATCGCACCATCCCATCGCGCCGTCCCATGACCTGCCAGTAGCTGCAGCTGAATGCCGAGTACCCTATACCTATTAGTCTCCATTGTAGTTCCTTTTTTTGGTTTAACCAATTATATATTAAGGATTTTGTAAGGTATCCCCCAAAGGCACTACAATGGAGACTATAGGTAAACCCCAAACCCTAAACTTCGACCTTTCGAGGCATGAGCCCTGAGTCTATCAGCTCCAAAGCCAACAGACGCGAGTTTACTACGCCCTCAGAGGCGTTTAGGGTTTAAAGGTTGAGGGTTAAAAACCCTCACCAAGCCGACGCAGCGAACCTTCTCCATGTGTTTTTTTGAATCACGCTTAGGAGTTCTGAGGCATGGGGCATAGGAATTTGTGGGCCTTATAGCCAACCTTAAACAGGCATGGGCCCTTAACCCTGGGACCCTAATATACCTACTATATACCCTATATATACCCTTAAGGGACCCTAGAATCAGCCCTGGCCCGAGACGCGTGCAACCGAAGCCCCTCAGCTCGCAAGCCTCGCAGACCCCTGGAGCCTTCAACTTTGGATCCCCAGGACCCTTGTTCACTTCCCAAAGACCTAAACCTTTTTTTTAAAGCCCTAAAAGTCCCCTAATATCGGTTATAAGTATAGCTACCCTACTTATATCCCCCACTTATATCTACCCATGAACCTCCAAGTAACCTGTATAGCAGCCCTTCTGTCTGGTGCTTAGTAGGGAATGGGGAATGGGTTATAGGGACTACCATAAGGGACCTTAAGGGACTACCATAGGGATCCATTCTCCCAGGCACCAGACAGATAAACCCAACACCCTTGAGCCACAAGCCCGAAAGCCGAAAGCCTCAACCTGACGTATACACCTTTAACCGCGTCTTAATGCTGGTCCGAACCTTGCAACACGACTTCGAGTCTTTGAGGCCATGATCCAGGAAGTCCTCTATGGGCTGGCAGCTTCTCCTGCATTAGCCTCCGGCGTCCAGTAGAGGTCGGAATACTTCGTTGTACTATTCCCGAAGCATTCCCTGTCATTAGAATTATAGTCCTGTGTAAGGCATTGTACGGCCCCATTACCGCAAATTTTGAGGTCCCTACCTCATGATGCCTTTTTTTCAGTATCAGGGGTCCTTCTCGAGGGTAATCGAAGGTTCGGATCAGGTAACTGTTTCAGACGCCCATATAGGGAGGCCGAAGGCAGCGCGCACTGCATCGGACGTCGGAATATAAAAGAAAATGATAGCTAAAACAAGGAAGACTCAAACATGTCAGTTTTTCAGGTGTAGGGTTTAGGTATACCTCAAGCCCTAAACCTTGGTAACTCCTTTCTGGAACACTTTAAGCGCTCTAAACCCCGTTAACCTTAGACCCTCGCCCCCAGGCCGGCTATGCCGGAGGCCTCATCCGAGAGACTGAGACCGGCTTCGTGATCGGCAGTGAGGTCTGGCTTTACGCCTTGGTGTTTCAGGGTTTAGCTTTTTGTGGCTCAAGGTTTGTGAGTTGGTGTTTTCGTTACAAGGCAAAGGGTAATGTAGGGGCCTGAATAATTCCCTATACCATTTTGGGGTTCCTTCTTATACTCATGGTATCATGGGCCCCAAAACCCTATATTCTAATTCTTCAGTTTTTGCAGCACAAACAGGGACTCCTGGGCTGTCATATGGGCTTCAGGGCTATGTCAGAGTCTCGGAGAGATCGAAGGGATGAAGGCCCAGAGTTGGTGATATGATAGGGTTTAGGGTTTAGGGTTTAGGGTTTAGGGTTTAGGGTTTAGGGTTTAGGGTTTAGATCTGGTTTTGAGGCTTCGGGTGGTTTGGGCCTAGGCTTTGGCAACGGAGCGATCATGATGTCCCCATGTGTGGTAGTCTTCCTGTGCAACTTGTCTATAACTGGATTTAGCGCCTAGCATTGAGGCCTAGAATATCATCTTCGTATATACATATACATATATATATATACACACATGTATGGGTTTAGGGGGGTTATGTAGGGGCCTAAATAATAACCTATAACATTTTTTTTTGGGGGGTCCTTACTATAGATACAGTATAATGCGGCCCAAAACCCTGTTCTACTTATTAAGGCCCCTACAGTAGCTGCACCAGAATGTAAGCACTAAGCCAGCAAGGAGCTTTTACCTATAGTCTCCATTGTAGTTCCTTTTGGGGGTTACCTTATAAAATCATTACTATATAATTGGTTAAACCAACAAAAGGACCACAATGGAGACTATAGGTAGG